CTGGGTGGGGGGACATTCTGGGGTAGGAAGTGGCCCGGTGAGGTTTTGGTACAAAGTCAGGAGAGAGGGCTGAGGAGACTTGCAGAGTTACAGACGCAAATCAGAGTCCAAATTGACGCCAATTGATCTATCCCCCTCTAATTTGATTCTCCTGGGGCTTGTTTCTTTTTTTTTTTTTGACCCCTCCTTAGCTTCTCATGCATTCAGCCACCAAATTAACGTATCCCACCCCGTAACAGGGGAGCAGTGACAAAAGCAAGAGTACATGAAGCAGCCATCCACCATCTCGACATCCTGCTCCCCGCCATTTATCGCCCTGCGTTTGATTTTTGTTTTAATCTGTCCCTGTCGCTTGGGTTGAGTCGAGAGTGGAGCCTCCGTGGGGTGCTGGCCACCGCGCCCCACGGAGAAGTCCCAGGGGAATGGAGAAGGCCGCTGCCTGGCCTGGCGTCCGGGGACAGTGGCTGGTCCCCGGAGGTCCTGAGGGGCGGAGGAGGGCTGGGGTGGCGTCTCCCCAGGTGTCAGGAAGGTGCTCGGAGGCCACGAGGATGGGGCCCCCAGCCGGCCCATGGCCGCTGGGGGGGAAGGGGCTATAGGTGTGTGAGTAGAGAGGGTCCATCGGGCTGGAGCAAGTGGCCGCCTTCCGCGCATTTGGGGACTTCTCCCCCCACCCCTCGGTGACACCTTGCCCGCTCCTCAGCGCCCTGTCTTGTCCCCAAAAGGCTCTAGCTCTGTGGGGCCTCCTGGGGGCCAGATGGGGTGAGGTCAGGTAGTAGGGGAGGTCAGGAGGGAGCCCGCAGAGCAGGAGAGCTGCGGGTTGATCTTTCAACCGGGGTTGCTTGGGCCCCGAGGCCTGCGGGTCTGGTGACATCGACCCAGCCACCATCTATCTCGGTGCCTAGGGCTGCCGCAGGGATCTGGGCGGCTGGGAGGTTTACCTCCCCCCACTTCTGCCCCCAGCGCAGCCCCCCTGCAGGTGGCCCGACTAGCAGTCTAGAGGCCCGAGGTTTAGGGGCCCTGGTGACAGGACTGGCATGACCCTGGGGGCGGTCCATGCCAGCCCGCCCTTGGCACAGAGGGTTCCTCGGCAGGCGTCCGGGGAATGGGCCATTCGGAACATTGGACAGAAGCCCAAAGAGCCAAATTGTCATAATTGGAGAACCCAGACAGATTGGCCTGAGACCCAAAAAGACTTCGAGGCACCCCAAATTGCCCGCCCATTCAGCCGGACGCCCATCCCACCCAGTGTTACTTTGCCTCGCCGGGGTGGGCGCTCCGGGGGCGTCTGCCGACCCTCCCTCTGTGTTCCCACTGAGCAGCTCTCCATGGGTCGCCTCCCACCCGACCCGGCTCCCAGCCGACCTCCCGTGCCCGTTTGTGGCTTTCCATCTGGTCTCTTCCCCGAGTCCTCCCCCCAACAGTCTTCAGCGGGACCCCCTCTTGGGTCCCTCCCTGCGCCATCACCTGAAGACCCCCCACGCGCGGACACCCACTGCCACCCTGCCGCTGCCCAGCCCATCCTGCAGCAGCCGTGTTCGCCTCGATTCAATTCCTTTAACATGCTGTTTCTGGCAAAACCACTGCGTGGGTTTTGTCTTTAACCTTCAACGCTCGCAATCCCAATAAAATATTCAAATGTATCCTGTTCTGAGTCCTCTGCTCTTTTGCCTGGGTGGGGGGTTTGAGAGGGAAAGGGAGGGGAGACCTGGAGGGCTGGACGCCTGCTCTGCCCCCCTTGGCACACAGTGAAATGAAGACGCCCAAAGTCTGCATGCTCCCAGCCGTGACAGCGGCCACGCATGGCCAGGGGCTCTGGGACAACCTCAGGCACCAAAGCCCCAAAGACAGCACGCCATGGGGCAGGGCCCGTCGGTGGCTTTCCTGGGGAACCACTGATGGCAAGGAAAGTGCCCAGCTGCCAACTGCAAGGAGCCCTCCCAGCCCTGGGCAGCTGGGCGCTGGGCAGTTTCTAGAAACTGTAGCTGTTGCTGGAAATGGGGTCTCACATCACCTGCGTGCCCACCTGCACTGCAGACATGTTCGCCCTCCCCTCAAGACTGAGGCCGCAGCAGATGTCACTGGAAACCCCCCGCCCTGCTCAGCCCCGAGCCACTGGGCCTTCTGCTCTGACTTCTGACCTTTAGGGTCCCTGCCTGGTGCTTGAAGTGGGACCTGGCCCCTCCCCCCACCCCGTCCCGTTTTGGGGAGAGAGGCACTTGGGGGGGAGACTGAGAAGGTGGAGGTGGCATTTGCTGGGCTGTGACTTGAAGCCAGGCTTCTAGGGTCTGCAGTGGCACCCACAGGAGCAGCCGTGCTGCTCAAGCTTACTGGGGATTAATCCAGGCAGAGGGTGGGGGGCTGCCTGAAGGAGGTGGCCTCAGCCTTGAAGCATGAGACCGCTGAGAGGGTGGAAACAGAGTTTGGGGGGCTTGTGCAACTCGTGGAGCAATCGGGCCTGACAGGGGCGAGGCTGGGGGCCAAGGTGGGGTGGGAGGCCCCCACCCTCAGAGAGCAGCTCTGAGACGCTTCCAGGGTCTGGGTTTGGGCCCAGCTCAGGACCCCCTGCTCCCCCTTTAGACCAGATTAGAGCTTCTCTCCCACCGGCCCCGCGCAGGACCTGCCCCCGAAGCTCCACTGCAGCCCTGCCCAGCGTCCCCCCAGGGTCCCCAGGGTGCTGGGTTCGGGGTCTTCCTTTCTCCCATCTCTTGGCGACCCACGCCCTTTCCAGCACCCGCCCTGCCCGGGATCTCCCCTCGCAGCCTCCTCCCGTCCCTGCACCCCACCCCACCTGCACCCCTGCCCACACCCTGCGTTCCCCAAGACCCCCACGACCTCCACTGCCCCTCGGCAGCCCCGGGGCACAGCCAGCCCCTCCCCCAGCCTTCCTTGGTTAATCTGGACCGCCTGCCCCAAAGCTGCCGCTGCCCTCCAGCCGCTCTGCTTGGCCCAGCTGCTCTCAGACTGCCCGGTCCGTCTTCCCTCCCGCCCCCGCCCTGACACTCTCAGCTCACCCCCAGAGCTTCATCGATTCACCCATTCATTCGTTCATCTGTTCATTCACACACGTGGATGGGCACCCCCATGCGCCCCAGGCTCAGTATCATGGTGGGAAAT